CAAGACAGCCCAAGATGGGCCCAAGATAGCCCAAGAGGCCGCCAAGACGCCTCAAGAGGCCTCCAATTAGCCGCCCAAGAGAGCCCCAAGAGGTGAAAATCAACAATTTTACGGAGGTTTCTGAAGGATTTTGGACTTCGCGCCTTTTCGGCTTTCCGACGCTCCAAGACGGCCCACGAAGCCTCCAAGACTGCCCCAAGACGGCCCAAGAGGCCCCCAAGAGGGCCCCAAGACTGCCCAAGAGGGCCCCAAGACGGCCCAAGAAACGCCCAAGACGGTCCAAGAGGGCCCCAAGACGGCACCACGAGGGGCCCAAGAACGGGACCATGAACCGAAAATTCGAGCCTTCTGCCTCAAGAGAGCCCCAGGATACCCCAAGAGGCCCCCAAGAGGCCCCAAGAAGCGCCCAAAAGGCCCCCAAGAGGCCCCAATAGGCGTCCAAAAAGACCAAATGATCCCCAAAACTGCCCCCAAGAGGCGCCAAAACAGTCTCCCAGAAGCCCCCGAGAGACCAACCACGATTATTTATACATCTTTCTTCGTCGGACGTCTCCCCCGTCGAATCAAGCCCACAACAGGCCACTCCTTCCATGTCCCTGCCGCTCTCACCAATCATCCCCACCTCCATTTTCAGGTCGGGGTTCGTGGCAATATCAGGTTGGGCCTTCTGGGACTGCCCGGGGCCTCCGGGGATCTCTTGGGGCCTTTGAGAACCTATTGGGGCCTCCTGGAGCCTCGTAGCGCCTCCTGGGAATTCCTGGGGCGTCATTGGACATCCTCGGGCCTCTTGGCGGCTCCTGAAGCCTCCTGGGACCTCCTGGGACGTTTTGGGTGTTGCCAGGGCCTCTTGGGATCTCCTGACACCTCGTGGAGCATCCCGGCGCCTCCTGGCGCCTCTTGAGATTTTGGCATTATGCGATCTCCTGAGCTTCCAGGGCCGTCGAGCGTCGCCCGAGAGAGCCCGCTCCAGAGAGCAGTCCCCGAAGTTGTTAATTATACGATTTGGCTTCCCCAGACCGTCCTGGTGGGCCCCTTTCAGAAGTCCGGCGCAGGGCCTCAAAGTGACGACGGTTTCGAGGATGGGGGATTTTCCGCTGAAGAGTAAACTCTGTTCCCCCATGTTGCGGTGCGATTTGCCCTCCTCATGATGCCCCGCTTGGCCCCGGGAGGATGTGTGTTTCGTGTTTTCGTTGGTAAAGAGCGCGTCCCCCTTCCCTCTTGGCAGCGACAGAGGGCAGGCGACGGGGGTGGGCGGGTTGGCTAGGTGGCGTGGTTGGTTGGGGTGGTTGGTTGACGGGTTGGCTGGTTCGGTTGGTTGGGTTGGCATGTTGAGTTGGCTAAGGTAAGTGGTTTCGACTCATGCTTTCCTTCCTCCGTCCCTGCACCCTCTCCCTTCCGCCCTCTTCGGTCCCCCCATCTCCCTACAATCGTTCATATCGACATCATGCTGAGCGTGTTCGTGCAACTCTTCAACACGTTGCACGTCCAAATCATGGCGGCGCATGTGTCTGATAGTTCTCGCCGCGGCAATACATGTGCATGTTTGCCCCTAGCGAGCGAATGGCATTATGCACAGTGTTGCACGGTCGGCGCTTGCCCAATCCTCCTGTATGGTCATGAACTCTGTTCGTCCGGTCAGCAACCGACCACCCCAGTTTTTTTCACCACCAAACACGCACAAATACATCTTTCTTATTCTTATTCGCCACGATGGACGATTGCGATGACATCTAGGCAACGGCCCTCACGTTCGGCCGTGGGGTCTCATGGTATGAGTGCGCAATGACATTCACCCACCAGTAACTTTCAGTCAAACATCAAATGTCATGGAATCCCGGTTTCATTTCAAAATCAAGAATCTGGATTCGACCGTGGGCGTTTTCTAGGGGATTTTTGTTGATAACATTGTCGCACCTCTAGGAGTGGACTATCACGTAAGAAACTATCTGGAGTTTAGCTCATGTTCGTAACGTAAAACATATGAGCCTAAGCTGGGGTATACACGTGATAGTACTTTAACCAATTGTTCATCAACACCCGCGCCGCGTTCCCTCAATCATGCCCAGTTGCATGAGCGTAGGTGTGTGGATCAAAACGTCGCTGGCTGTTCTGGGTTGGTTGTTTTCGGCGTGGGTTTGCGGATAGAGACACGAGGGGAAGCAGTGACGCAAGAGGCACCCAGTTCGGCCATGGGATACGTGATGTTTGCTTTGAGGGCGCGCACACTTGTTGATTGACGTCAGCCTTCTGAAAAATGAAGACGCGGGAGGGAAGGATTAGGACAGGGCGACTTGCAGTTTTTAGGCGAGAAGGGGGGGCGGCACGCGAAGAAGCCAAGTTTGCATGCTTGAAGCGTTGCGAGTGCGATTTGGGTCTTGCAGGGGAAACGGCTTCAGCAGGGGCAGGAGTGTGCGGTGCACCAGAGGAGTTACAAGACGTGGGAGGCTAGTGGGGGCAAAGCTGGTTGATGACATGTCTGGCGTCAGGGTCTGGTGTCGAGGCAGCAACCAGAAGTTCGAGAAGGAAGGCCCTGTCAGAATCTGTGCGGTCGACGACAAGGACGGTCGGCTAGCTCGCCTTCTCGCCAGTGCCATTCCCTTCTTCATTCTGCCATTGCCAGTCCCTTGGGGAGGTACACCGATGCCAGAAACCGCATGCTCATGAAGTCTGACGGCTCACGAGGGTCCCTGTCGCACCCGATTCAGGGCGCGATGTGTCATTGGGTTTTCGTCTTGGGGTGCCCAAGTCGTCTTTCCGGGTGCATTGCGACCAGTTTCTGGCGTTCCATGGCGTCGTTCAGACGTGTGCAGGTTTTTTTCGGTGAGGGCCATCGGGGAGCTTGAGTCACCTCGCGCGAACGCAGGCGCACGAAATTTAAAACATATAGGGTAATTGACGTCCAAGCGATGGCGAGGTTCCGCCTCCTCCGAAATCGTCTTGTTTGCCGTCGGATTTCGCTGCTGTCCCTGACTTCGCCCCCGCCTGCTGCGGCAGGCGCGAGCTGTCTAATCCGATCCGCTCCCGAGCATCACGAGTCCCGTTCGGCGCTTCCAAGCCCACGCCTCGTTCTCCTCATGATCCATCTCTCTCCTGCTCCTCCACTCCCCCCCTCAAAAACTTCTCGTCGTGCTCATGCTCCCCATATTTCTCCCACTTCTCCTCCTGATCAATTTTCCAATATTCCTCCCCATCCCCGGCTTTTCTCTTCCTCCCTCCATCTCTCTCTCTCTCTCTTTCTCTCTCTCTCTCTCTCTCTCTATATATATATATACATGTATCATATTTTCTTTGCTTGTATCACGTGTATGTACCCTTACCTTCCTATGCATATCTATTGGTATATGTCAAAATTCCTTCAATCCTCCCCCGTCCCCATACAGCCGACGAAGACCGCAGCACCAGCGTGTCAGCAGTCCGTAGCTGGCCTCGGCCGGTGTCCCAGACGGTCCACGATCGGCCAAGATGGCCCCAGATGGCTTCCGAAATGGCCCACATGGCTTTCAAGACGACCAGGACGGCCCAAGTTGGTCCGAGCTGATCACAGACGGCCCAAGCAGCACCCAAGACGCCCAAAATACCCCCAAGACGGCTCCAACAGGACCTCCAGAGGCGACCAAGAGGCAACGTTTATCTAACAAGTTTACGATCCAACGGTGTTCACATTATTCCTTTTCGGGCTTTCGAACGCCCAAGACGGCCCAAGAGCCTTCAAGATCGCCCCAAGACGGCTCAAAGAGACGCACGACGGCCGAAATGGCCCCCTCTCAAGGTCCCCAAGATGGCCCCGATCCCCTTCGAGGGTTCCTCCCAGATAGGCTTCCTCCCAAGCCCAATCAAATCGCGGCCTTGCCGCAGGGGCCACCAGACGTGCGCCGGAACATATCCCCGAATGTGGCCCCGAGAGGGCTCCTCCAGCGGCCAGCTGGAAGTGGCCAGCGAGCCAGACGGCCGCTATTTGAGCTGCGTCCATTTGCCCGTGGCGTTAGGCGAGCAGGGGACGCACTGTGGCGCAGGAACTTCCAACTTCCTCCAACAGGACGTGCCAGCCCCTCCAACTCTCTCCTCGGCCACGCCGTTCCCAGACATGATCGCGTCGTAATAAAAATCAGGACGGGAGGTGTTTGGCCCATTTTGGCCTCGGAGGGCCCTCGCCGGGCCTCGGGGCCGTCGAAAAACGACTCAGGACGAAAAGCTTGTCCCGGGAAAAGGGTCGGGACTTCCAGGGACCCCGTATTGAAAGAATCAGGACCTCGCGTGTCTGGGACTCTTTCCTCGGCCACACCGTCTGCGTGTCACGGCCCCCGCCGTGGCCTCGGGAGGGCCAGACCAGGCGATGAGGGCTGCACGACAGTCGCCAGGATGGCACGTGATGGTCCAGAGTGGTGGCCCCCGCTGGGTTTACAATGTTCCAACTTGCTTTGGCCTTGAGTACCAGAAAGAGTGTCAAGCACCAAGAAGGTGCCGAAACTGGACGGTTGTTTGCACGTGCCGGGCCCTTAGAGGCGATCCTCGTTCGACACTTGTTCTGATGTCTTTCTGGGTGCTCGAGATGATTGCGAAGGCCTGATGGCCAGTGCCGCCGACCCTGGAGGCCTCGGCCCTCGACGGAAATGGGAGGGAGAGAGTTCGCCATCGTGTCGGGCAGACACTGTTTCGGAATGTTTCAGGGTGCTCGAAACGAGTTCTGGGACGTGGCCCTGAAGCACGGTGGGGACAACAGAACTATCGCTGGGCCTCCACGACCGCCACAGGGCGGGCCGAGGTGGCCACGGAGAGCCTCCCAGGGATGGCCCCGAGAGGCCCAGCACGGCCGAACGTCAAACGCCTCGGGCCTCTCAGCGGTTCCCGGCGTCCGATGTGCCGCTGAGGCCTCAAGGGAGACCCGAGCAGGGCTCGGGCCTCCCGAGCCCCAGGCCTCGTCATCTTGCAGCACGTCTCCAGCTGGCTCGATATGCGAGGGCCCCACGGGGCCCGAGGCTGGGCGGCGAGAGCGCGCGGGGCGAAAATGAGCTGCAGAGGTCTCCGAGGCACGTGCGGAGTGCGCGCGCGCGGACCGGGCTCCGCGAGGACCGAGCCTGCTTCCGGACTGAGAAGTGGACGCTTGCCAGATAATTCGCGCAACCCGTCCGCCGCGAGGCGCCTTCCCGCCGCAGGCGCCGCGGCGCCCCGCCAGGGGCGCCGCAGGGACGCAGCGCCCACGCGGCGGTTCGCGCCTCGCTGCGGCCGCGCTCGGCGCCGCCTAGGGCGCCGCGCGCGAGCGTGGCACCCGCCCGGCAGCAGACCGCGCCGCCACGGGCGCCGCAAGGACGAGCCCGCGGCACGTACGGAAACGGCTCCCCCGCGGCGGAGATGGATCCACATGGCCGCCGCCAGGGGGATCCTCTTCGAGGACGCCGGCAGGCGGTGGGCATGGATCCGCTTGAGGCCCTGGGGGCTGGCAAACTTGTCCACGTCCACCGCCTGCCGATGCCCCCGAAGCTCGACCCCCCAGGTGGTGGTGATGGACAAGTTCCTGCCTCGGTCCTCTGGCCGGCAGCCTCCGGCTGCCTCTGCGACGGCCTCCGCGGCGGCCTTTCCTGCCCTGGTCGGGGGGGGGGGAGCCTAGCCCGGGGCGCCACGGGCCGCCCTGCTCGGGAAGCCCTGGTCGCCTCGGAGGGAGGCGCTCGGAGTCGAGGGACAACAGGTGACAGAAACGTTAAGGTGTCGGAGCTCCGCGCGGATTTCCTGTATCTGAGCTGGGCTTCTTTGGCGGAGCCCGCAGCGCCCCCGCGCGATCCAGGGAGGGGGGTCCAGCGCCGCTCCAGGAAACCCGTGCGGACCTCAGAAAGTTCACGTCTGTCTCACGTGTTGCTCCTCGACGGAGGGGAGGGGGGAGAAACGAGGCAGGAGGGCAGGGGTCGGCCGGGGGCAGCGTAGGGGGAAGGATAGGCTCAGGAAAGGACGCATGGTCTCCCCATCGCCCACTGATCGCCGACGGGGGCCCGACAGCCCACCCCGCCCAGGAGCGCGCGGAGTTGGTATCGGGGGCCGATCGCCGGTCTGTCCGTGATGCATCGCCGATTACATATCGATGTCCCCCCCCCCCGAGCTGGTAACCTCCCCTAAATTCTCCCCCTCAGGAGCGGTGGAGGCAGGAGGGGGGAATGAGGCGGGGCGGTGGGAGGAGGGCGGGAGCGGCGGGGGGAAGAAGGCGGGAGCAGGGAGCAGCATGGAGGGGTATAGTGACGAGGATGGATGGGAGGAGAGGAGCACGGGGAAGAGGGAGGGAGGGAGGGAGGGAGGGAGGGGAAGAGGAGGAGGGAGGAGAGGAGGGGAAGAAGGACGAAGAGGACGAGGAGAAGAAGGAGAAGGAGGAGGAGGAGCAGGAGGAGGAGGAGGAGGAGGAGGGGGAGGGGCGAGCGAGCGACCTCGGGCACGGGACTGTGAAGACCAGAGCCATCAGTGAATCGGTATTGGCCTCGCGGGCCATCAGCAAGCGACCAGGTGAGCACAGGCGGCCGAGCCAGGGAGGTGGCCAGCTGAATGGAAAGGGAGGGGAGGCCATACAAGGGAGGAACGGAGCCCCAGTCAGACCCAAGGATGCCCCCCCATGGCCCCGCAGGGCCTGCCTGTGAGCCCACACGTCATCAGGAGACCCTACTCCGAGTTTCTTCCCCCGCCGACAGCCCCACATCGACCCCCGTCGGGGGCAGCCACCGCTCGCCGAAGGCGCTCCGACCCCCGTCGCGGCGCGACGACGAGGCGAGGTCGACCCACGCTTTTCCTCTCCCGAGGCGAAGGCAAGATGACAACACACACACACAAAGCTGTTGACCCATCATGCCCTGGGGAGCTTGACAAAGAGAGGGCAGGCTGCCGCCGACGAGCACAGGCCACACCCGCAACCTTGCGCGCGGGCAGCCGAGGCCCTCTGGCGCCGACAGTGCACTGAGCGAACCCTGACGAGCACCTGCTGGGAGGGCCAAGATGGCCAGGCACACCACTCGAACCTAGTCGTAACAAAAATCAGGACGGGAGGTGTTTGGCCATTTTCGGCCTCGGGGGGCCCTCGCAGGGCCTTGGGACCGTCAAAAAACGACTCGGGACGAAAAGCCGGCCCCGGGGAACGGGCCAGGACTTCTAGGGACCCCGTATTGAAAAATCAGGACGTCGCATGTCTGGGAGCAAAGCTCGCTACCAAACGCCTCGGGCCAGTGGAAAGGCATGCGGCGCACCAACCAGCGGTCAACACCGTCTCCGACTAAACCTCTGGGGCAGTACGTATACAAGGATATGTTCGCCCCCATCATGAGTGAGCAAATGAGGCGAAGCCATGTCCCACCCAATTCTGCACAAGGACTGGAGCGCCGCCGAGATCGGCCCAAAACATTGCCTCTGGGAGCCCTGAGTGTCTAGCTTAACCACGATCGTGCTCCAAGCAGCTCTGAGCCTAGTGGGAGAATTCCTGTCGTCCCAGATCCAGCCGGTACATCTGGCAACCAGAGGGCAGGTGGTGTCAAAGGTCGGATCGTACGTCCTGTCTTCGTTGTGCGCAAGTGTAAGTTGAGAGAGAAGCTTCGGACGCGGCCAGGACGAGGAGTACATCCGTTCCAGAGCCTTCCGGAACGCTCTCAGAGCGTTCTGGAACGCTCTGAGAAGGCCGCGGCGCCCGAAGCATCCTCCAGAACGCCAGATCTCAGCGATTCTCGATGTATCCTCACCCGGTGCTGTCCTCGCCCTGGTTTCGTCGGAAAGCCAGCCCTTCCCTGACCTTGTGGAGGACGATCAATGGAGAGGAAGCATGTTGCCAAACAATTTCAAGATGTATAATTTTGTTTTGGGGGGCGCTGTTGCCCGACCAGTACAGATGTCTAAAACATGGTTTAACAATGTCTTGAGCACGTAAAAACATAGCTTACACATGTTTAGAACCTTCTTCAAACATGTGCTATCACATGTTGAACTCAATGATCGGATTGTTGGGGTGTCCAGGGTCATGGCATCCACGACCCTGGCCCCCAGCAGCTCGCCAGCGAGGGAGCGCGGCCGCGCACGGGCGTCACATCCGCGAGGCCGCTGGCGCCAGTGCCGTGGCCCGCAGGGGGGCAGGATTTGGACTTCCAGTGCGCCGTGCGGCCGGCACGCCGAGACCGCCAGCCCTCTCGGAGGGCCCTGAGCCGACCCCGCCTGCCCAGGGCCGCCCCCGGCAGGCTTCGTTTCGGTTCCTCCGATTCGATTCGATTTGACTTCGATGGCTTCTGATTCCGATTCGATTCGACTTCCGGTTCCGATTGGGGCTCCGATTCCTGACTGGAGGCCCACCAGCCTGCCGATTTCCGCCGATGCGACTTTTCCCGACTCGGTTGCCGATTTCTGCCGATTCGATTCATTTCGATGGGCTCTCCTGCCCCAGACGCTTTCGCGAGATGGCTCTGTGCGCCACTCCTCCACCAAAGGTACCACGGCCGAGACTGTGAGCAGACTTAGAAGGCTTAGGCTCGAGTTAGAGCGCGCGTGCCTTCACTGCTCGCGCCGCCTCGGTCGACGGCGCCAGGCATCCTGACCTGGAAGCCCGAATCGCAAAACTTAACGGGCGGGTGTAGCTGGCGAAAGCCACCGTAGCATTGAACACCACACCCGCGAGCCTGGCCAAGTGCCCGACCCGCTGGAACGACACATCATCCATGAGGCCCACGGGCACCACGGAGTCAAACTCCCTCTTGAGCCTCTGAAGGGGCCTGAGAAGTAACACCTGCATGATGGTCGTAGCATGGGAACACCCCGCTAAGATACCCTGTAAGGAAGGAAATAATAGATGAGCGGCAAAGGGGATAAACTCCTTTGATGTGCCGAGGCTGCTGATAACTGCAAGCCGACAACTACGCAACGACGCTACACAGAGGGGGGAAATCAGCAGCAGCAGCGTCGGCCATGACGGAATCGTGCAACTATAACCCAAAGCGATTTACATATAACGGCGCACCCGGGCCGGGGCCCCGGGGCCGCGACCTCTACCACAAATGTGGGTGTGCAGGCGCCTGGGGGGCCCCAGAGGCCCACAAAACGCCACCAGAAAGCACCAAGAGAGCCCGAAGACGCTCCAAGAGAGACCCGAGACGCCCACAGTTTGCTGCAAGACGCCCAAGATGGCCTCCAGACGGCTTAAGACACCTCCAAGACTTGTATGTTCAAGCTGCTATATGCTCTGAAATACCCCTGTTACGGTTTGCAGAGCGGGGGATAAGTAGGTGTAAACATAGGGGATGATTTCGCATATTTTTGCTCGATGCTGCACGTTGCTAAGTTTCATCATTATAATCTTGCCATATGATTTCGTAAAGGCGTGAATTCTTGACGCAGCGCGTATCCCTACCAGCCCGCCCAGAAACGATGTCATGACAGCTGGTGGCCTCTTGGAGCGTATGGGGGGGACATTTGGGGTCCCCGCGGATCCTCTTGAGGCCTCTTGGGGGTATTCTTGGAGCGCTTTCGAGACCTCTCAGGCACCTCTTAGGGCTTCGTTGGCGCATTCTGAGGCCCTCTTGGGGCCATCTTGGGAGCCTTGGGGGCGCTCTTCGAGCCATCTTGGAAGAGATCGATCAACGGAGGATGGGGACTCCATTAATCCGAGTCCCCCTCGGGAGCACCGAAAATCGCCTCTTGGGGTGCTCTGCGGTCTTGGAGCGCTCTTGGGCGGTCTTGGGGCCGTATTGGGGCTCTCTTGGGCCCCTCCTGGGGCCCTCTTGGGCCCTATTGGAACCATCTTGGCCTCGGATGGCCATCGGAAGCGGAAAAGCGAGAAGGCAAAAATCACTGGCTGTCCTGAGGTTTTGAATCATTGTGGCTTATTACAGGTACCTTTGGGAAGCTCCTTGGCCCCTCGGAGCCGTTTTGGGGCGGTCTTGAGGCCTCTTGGGGCATATTGAGAGCCGCCTGCAGGGAGCCATCATCTTAGGCTATCTTCTTGAGCCATCTTGGAGCTCACCTTGGGCTCTTTGAGCCCCTCTTGGAGCCGTCTTGGGCGAGAAAGTACCGTCCGAGACCTCGCGACCGCCCCAATCCAGGTCCAGGGGAGGTTGTAGAGGGGAGGGCCCCCCCCCGAAGGAGAAGAATGGGGGTTGGAAGAGTGAGCT